AGGAGGAGGTGGGTATGTGTTAGCTGTAATTCCACAGTGATACATTCTTCCCCATTTAGCTCAGCGGAACACTCTGTTCTCTCTACAGATGCACACACAATAACCCAAGGCAAATGGTTTTTACGTGGTTTGTTTTATCTGCAGTTGGTAGAAAAGCCTTTTAAAATCGCAATGGTCTATGGAAACAACAGCATCTCAATGAAATAAGGTTTTTAATTTTTATTGGTTTTTAAAAAAGCCTTTAAAAATCAAAGGACTTGATAGTCATGGCTGGCCATCCAGCAACATAATTTATCATTGGCATATGGCTCTTTTGCCCACTAAAAATATTTGGAATGATTTGAGGAATTCAGCTGGTAGGACCTTCTGAAAAATCAATCAAAGCCTGAGCTAATTAGCTTCAGCTAATATTTCCTGGACTGGCCATTACTTGTAAAGAAGCATCTTACTAAAACCTGGTATCTTGAATTGAAAAGTATGAACGGAGGATCTGGGGCTACCTTCTTAGCAAGAGTGACCACGAAGAGCTGAGAAAATGACTGTTCTTTGAAAGTTTAAAAACTGTTCTGCTCTTGGAGAGAGAGAGAGGCGTCTCCAGGACTCAAAACGAACCCCATTTCCCTTCAGTGCGCCTTTGCTGCATTTGAACCTGTGCTTCTTAGCTACTCAGTTACTCTTTTGTGTCCAAAGAGAGTGTCTTGGGGTAGCTTTAGTTTGTCGTGCAAATTGTGTGGTGGAGCTAGCTTTTTTCCCAGGATGAAACTGGGGCTGAAGTTGTCATGTGGGCTTGGAACTTTTTTTTTTTTTTTGTAATTAGCTGAGGGTGGGAGCTAGCAGAAGCTGGCTCTCTGTTCTGAGTTCTGAAACAAGTGACTCCCAGGCACTATTTTCAGAGCTGTGCCGACACTTGTTAATAATGTTGGTATATAAAATCGTGCTCATTCTAAACTCATTTAGACACAAGAAAATTATCGAGGAGCCAGCAGAGAAAGGGAGAGACAATTAAGTTACTAACTGTCGGAGGCAGACTGCTAGAACTTTTAAGTAGAATCAGCTATCCTTTTCTGTCAGATGTAAGCACTAGGAGTAAAAGTGAAGAGTATTTTTCGCCTTCATGGTGAGTTCACTGGGTTCCATAAGCTAATAAATAGGGTTAGCTGGCCTGGATACCCTCCCTTCTCCGCCTTATGCAATTTAACTACTCCCGTAAGCTGAACTTCCAAAATATAGACCTAATGTTGATGCTATTTTACCTTTTAAAATGATGGATCCCTAAGTGTAACATAGGATTTTGGATCAGATTCTGAAATAAGAAAAGACATTAGTGGAATATTTGTTGAAGTCTGCATTAAGCCTGGGGTTTAACATGTACCAATGTTAACATCTTTGTCTGAAAATGTACCATGATTAAAGACATTCTGGAAAGAATACAGGAAAACTCTTTGTTCTGTGTTTACAATTATTCTATAAATTCAAAATTATTTCCAAGTAGTTTAATGAAATGATGACCTTTAATTGTTCCGACTCTGATCTTGGAAAAGCAGGCAGGTAGAGACCTTCTGGGGACAGTAAAGACCATGTACCTGCCCTGGACGAGGAGGGAGGCAACAGGATAGAGAGCGGAACTATCAGCAGTAGCAGGGAGACACAGGCCAGGATGGCTGCCAGACTCTGGAGTTTCCTCCTAGGGGACCACCACCCAAATGATGCTGGATCCTTGACCATGCACAGGAAAGAACTTCAGGATGAGTCGGAGGGAAGCAGAGTCAGTGAGTTTATTAAGAAGAGATAAGGAACAACGTGCATGCTTAAATCTAAGTGAGGACATTTGAGAGCGTGACACCAGGGAAAATGACATCCGTATGTATCCTAGACACAGAGCAGACTCCTGAAGACAAAGAAAGGCAGTACACACCCGATACATGGGCAAACACCTAAGAAAGCCACATTCACGTGTCTATAGTTCTGTGCTTTGGAAGTTACATTGCTCAAATAATTTAAACAAGATTTGAAAATTAAGCGATTTCTTAAAAACAAGTACAAAAATACAAGCTGGTTTATTTTTCTTTAAGCATTTCCTTTTTGTAAAAGAAATTGTAAGGCAGTTTTGAGGTGTGTTGCTTAGGTTTAAAAAAAACTAAAGTCGTAAATACTCTAACCCCAAGTAACCTTTTTTATTTACTGTTTCTAACATCCTTGTCTGAGGTTCTATCTTAGGAAAGGGAATCTCATCTCTGCAGGCAATCTTCAAAGCAGGTTTGTTGGTTGTACCTTAGTTCTTGGCTCAGTGGATGAAGGACTTCATCCAACTCCAGGAGAAGGGGCTCCTTTCTCTTCTTGCATCCCCTGAAGTTTCCTTGTCTTCTCCTGCCTTCAGGGCCGGATGGAGGATGCTGCCACTTGCCAAGCAAACCATTTGGTTTACACTGTCTGCTGGATTCACTAGGCAGACAAGCAGCAGGCCAAAAAAACCCATGAAATGACCAAACCAAAGCAGGCCCGCCCTCCTGCTCTGTCTGTCTGTCCGTCCGTCCCTTGCTTCTAGTAAGATGGTATCACTTCAGTGTGACCTGCCCCACGTCTTTGGACTCTTGGTCCCCATTTGGTGGTGCTGTTTTGGGGCATATGGAATCTTCAGGAGGTGGGGACTCACTGGAGGAAGCTGGTCACTGAGGGTCCCCATTTGGTGGTGCTGTTTGGGGGCGTACGGAATCTTCAGGAGGTGGGGACTCACTGGAGGAAGCTGGTCACTGAGGGTCCCCATTTGGTGGTGCTGTTTGGGGGCGTACGGAATCTTCAGGACTCACTGGAGGAAGCCAGTCAATGAGGGCTGGCAGGAGCTTTATGTCAGGCTCCATTTCCAGGGGAGTTCCAGCTGCATGTCCCCATGGCCAGAGAGCTGCCTGCTGCCATGTCCACACCCAGTCCCCTTAAACCAAGTCAAAATCGACCCTGCATAGCAATGAGAAGAGGAACCAGCACAGTGGCTCTCCTGACTGGCCCTCCCTTCACGGTACATTTTATCCACTATTTATAAAGGAAGGTCACTCAAGAGGGCATATCAATAGTTAGCAATAGAATTCCAACTTTTAGAGACCTTTCTTTAGGAATAGAGAATTCCACTGTTTTTCTATGTGTATGTTTGTGTATACAGATACATGTGCATATGTGTACATAAGTATGAAAACCAGAGGTTAACATCGGGTGTCATTCCTCAGATACTGTACTTTTTTTTTTTATTTTTTGTTTTTTCGAGACAGGGTTTCTCTGTGTAGCTTTGCTCCTTTCCTGGATCTCGCTCTGTAGCCCAGGCTGGCCTTCAACTCACAAAGATCCGCCTGGCTCTGCCTCCCGAGTGCTGGGATTAAAGGCGTGCGCCACCACCGCCCGGCCTCCTACTCGGCTTTAGACTGCCTATAGCTGGCTAAGTAGGCGAGGCTGCCTGGTAGGTGAGCCCCAAGGATCTGCCTATCTTTGCCCCCCCAATGCCAGGGTTACAAGTGTGTAACCACTGTGCCTGGTATTTGCACATGGTTTCTGGGGATCAAACTCAGGTCCTAATGTTGGCAAGGCCTGAGCTTTACTGCCTGAGCTATCTCCCCGGTCCCACCTAACCATCGTTTAGAAAACTGTTCGTGTAGTCCGTGTTAAAAGGTTCACCTTTCTAGACAACTAATGTTGAAACTATGGTGCATAGAGTAATTTTTTATTACATTGAAAAATTTAAAATGTATTTTGTGTGCTGTACACACATGGGCTTTGGTGCATATGCGGAGGTCAGAGGACAGTCTAAGGACATGAGTTCTCTCCTTCAACCATGTGGACCCTGGGGACTGGACTCAAGCTGTCACCCTGGGCAGCAAGCACTTTTATCCAGAGTCATTTCATAATCATATAGTCTACATTTTGTTCTATAAAACCCCTGAAGTACATATTTTCCTCTTTAAACCAAAAATACTTCTAGAAACACACATAAGTTTCCAGTTTTCTTTGCAAAGGACAGTCTTGGCCTCAAACACCATCGTTTCAAGAATACAGATTAAAAAGCCCTCTTGAAGTTCCATGAAGATTGGTGATGGAACAAGAAATTCCATGTAGGATTTAATAGTGTTGAGGACTGAGCCCAGGGCTCCTGACTACTAAGGACAAGCCACATTTCTGCAGCTCTGAAACCATCTCCTAAACGAGCTCTCGGAGATCTTAATATTTCCCATTCCTGTGTGACTGTGACTACCTCGGACACAGCAGTTCCCTGGTTCCGTGATGCCGATGTGAAATGAGCAGCTGTGCAAGAGCCTCATCATTCTTAGGGAGAGAGTGGAATCTTTATGTAAAATAAGAAAGACTATTCCTGCCACAGAAGCAGTGAGAAAGGTGATGATTGGTCAGTGGACTAAAGGCAGAGTTTTTAACAAATACTGCTAGGATGACGGGGTGGCCATTTCCACTCAGGTGGGAAAGACGCCGATTGGATCTGATGTTTGGACCAGACCATCTGGGAGCAGGCAGGTGAGGTAGGAAAGACGGTCAGTTACTTAAAGGTAGGCCTAAAAGAGATGGAGAATGATAGGAAGGGCTAGCCTAGTACTCACTTTTTTTGTCCCGAGCCAAAGGACAAGGAAAGATAAGCTGTCACCAACAGAGAGGAAAAGGGCACAAGGGTGGATTGGGCTAAGACTGGGAACGCAGTCCTGACCATGATTCCATCTGTCAGATGCTAGTGAACACCACACAGGTGGCTGGGTACGAGTCTAGGATTAGAGGGTGAGAGCTGAACCAGAGCTCTGAACTTGGGAGTCATCAGAAGGTAGACAAAGATCCACAGCCTAAGCCTGGAGCTGTCAGGGACAGCAGAAAGAACTCAGAAACAGCCTTGCCTCACTCCTCTCACAGCCCAATGTGTCCCTGGGGAAACCTACAGAGTGAACCAAGTTTTCTGTCTATAATACGGTCAGGTACCTGAAGAGAGCCCTAAGGAGAAAAGGCACACATTCACTCTCTGAATTTAAGAAGCACTTTATTATTTGAGACAATTCATTCTTTTTGAGGAAAAAAAATCAATTCTTTGAATGAATTAAACAATTACCTGGAAACCTGAACTGGGGAGGGGTGGTTTCTGGGATGACGAATAGTCCGACAGACTTGAAGGATACTGTAACTGAACATGGGTTTGAAAACTGTATATGATATAATCTGATCAAAATTTAAAACAAGTTCTGAATACGTGGCCTCTGAGGAAACTTGTTTTATGCTTTTTTAAAAGGAAAGATATATCAACGGTCTCAGTATTCTCTTTAAAAACAAAGCTACCTGCGAAAGCAGAGTCGCCAGAATGGAGGCTAACACACTCTTTGCCCCTGGTTCCTGGGCCCTGAATGTGCATAAAAGCTGTGGTAGGAATGAAGTGTCACTTTGCTAGGGCAGAGCACACTCCCTACAGAAAATGTTCCTGGTATTTATGCCTATTGTACAAACAGGAATGCAGCTGTGGAAACACAGATTTGAGCATTACAGTCAAATAAGATCAAAGAACACATCCTTAGATGATTTGCTGATTCCCGGCAGCCTGGCAGCTAGACAGCACATATACAAAATGCAAAGCCCATCACTTAATTAAAATGAAGTCAAATGATGAAAACAATTCCGTGCTAAGACAGGCACTTACACGCATCTCTGTCATTTTAAGTATCCGCTACAATATCTGTGTGATCTGGGCACCCAAAGCCCTCCGTAATAACAATGAACATATTTTCCAGTAGCTACAGGACACCAGGGGTGGCCAGTGGTATGGAGAAACTGCCCACTAGACAATCCAAATGGCCTAGGAAATGAGGCTTTTGACAGTGATAGCCTAGGGTCTGGAGAACTCATCCCTCTGGTGCAATTTTAAACAGTAAGTGGTCAGGAGTCCTCCTTACATTAATGGTGCAGTAGTTAACCCTGGAGAGAAAAAAATGTAAAGAAGGAGTCTTCCCGACTAACACTTACCAGGCTGTTGTTCAGCTGAGGCTCTTCACGCGTCAGCCCCTGATGCAGATATTACAAAGGCTGGTGAACACCCTTTAACAACTACTTTCCAACTCCTAACACCCCCCTGACAGCCTTTCTAGACGGGGAATGGAACAAGCGTGCCAGTGTTCCAGAGACCACTGACAAACACACCACGGCCCCTCTGCTGGACTGAAGGATGTGACTCTGGTTCAAAAGCCCTGATTACAGGCCCAAGAGCTCAACGTCTTCTCCTTTCTGCTCTGCCATCATCTGACTTTCCCTTTCCCTCCCAATTTCCTGTTTTGGAAATTGGGGTAAGTCCCAGCAGGAGGGCAGCATGGAGGGGACGATGTCCTTTGTCCAACCATGAGGAAGGTAAGGCAAACAAGTTTAAGAGAAATTTATGAACAGGCAGAGATGACCCACTTTGTACTTGTCCTTTGCAGCCAACAAGACCAGACACCTGAGGAATCCCAGTTCCAACTTGACCATGTATATGTCCAAGATCCTTATTTAAGATGGACTCTGGCTCCTCCTCAGTGGCATTCTTGGGTCAAAAGGCCTTGCTGTGGAATAGCAGGTAACTGAAGTCCAGGAAGACAAACAGGATCAAGGGCATGCACATCTGCCCCCAACCAGGTAGTTCCAAGCTTGGAGCCTGCTGAAGGTCAAAAGCAGCACACATTTGGGTCACCCATGAAGTTAACTAGGTCTTATCAGGGACACAGATAAATCCACAAGTTGCAGTGCTGTTCCGTGTTCAGTCTTCCATATTAGTGAATTTTCTCTTCTTATAGTTCTGAACGAGATTGGACGCTGTGATCTGAGAAGCCTGACCCTTTTCCCAGCTCTGAAAGTCATTCAGCCCTTTCTGCCCTATTTGAAATAAGCCTCTCTCCATCTCATCTAGCCTGGCTACCAGTGCTGAAGTGTCTTCATTGTAAGAATTCTGGGAGGAGTCCATGATGCGGCGGAACCGTCCAATAAAAGTCTGAAGAAGAGTAAGAGAATCAGGGGCAATATCACATCCCATAAAGCCAGACACACTGAAAACCTTCCGTTAACTTATTTTTAGGGGGAGACGGAGCACACATGCGATACCATGTATGTGAGTAGAGGTTAGAGGACAACTTGTGGGAGACAGTCCTTCCCCCAACCTAACACAGGCCATCGGGTTCAGCTGCAAGTGCCTTTATCCTGCTAAGCCGCCTTGCTGGCCCTCACATGTATTGGCTTTACTGAAGCAGTTAAAGGTTCATTTATTTACTTGTTTATTGGGCAGGGTCTCACTATGTAGCCTCAGCTGGCCTGGAACTCAGAGATCTACCTGTTTCTGCCTCCCAAGTGCTAGAATTAAAAGTGTGCACCACCATATATGGCATTATTGTTATTTTTTCAATTATGTGGATATGTGTATATTGATGTGATTGCACATGCCCTCACGTTGCTGGAGTTGCAGGCAGCTGTGAGCCACCTGAAGTGGGCGCTGGGAATTGAACTCGGGTCCTCTGCAAGAGCAATGTGTGCTCTTACCACTAAGCCTTCTATCCCGCCCCTATACTGGAACATTTAGATGGCTTCAAAGAATTTGGTCTCAGGACTCACCCAGGAGGCTTGGGTGCCCTCTGCTACTTAAGAAAGCCTTTGTTTCTTTTATAGTAAAAAGGTTGTTATGGAAATCCAATGGATTGTTACTAAAACCAGCGAAGTAATATATGTGAGGCACACAGCAAGAGGCTGGACACAGCAAGAGGCTGGACACAGCAAGGGGCTGGACACAGCAAGAGGCTGGACACAGAAGCCTCTGGAAAAGCACGGCCCATCCTTACTGGTAACAATGACTACAGAAATGAAAATGAACAGCTTTCAACCAGATGGGATTTGGAATCAACTGGATTCAGTTTCTATTTTTCTCAGTCAAAGAGCAGGATGGAGATGTGTAAGATCAAAAAGCTCTGAGGAAAAACCACAAGCCCCGATCCAGTGTTTCCATCTGCCTCACAGCAAAAATCATTTAATCTAGAAGCAACTCTAAAACACTTGAAAGCAGTGATAGAAAAAGAAAACACACAACTCATTTTAAAAAAGACAACTTTATTCAAGAACAAGTCCTGGGGGTTGGGCCTATTGGCCCAGAATGTAATCCCAGCTACTCGGAGGCCGAGGACCCTAAGTACAGGCCAGTCTAGAATGCGGAGCAAGTTAGAGGCCACTGAGTAACTTCGTGAGACTCCGTCTCAAACAACCAGCAACAGAAGGTCCAAGTCTCGGGAAAACAAGCATGCTTCCCTCTTTTTTAGCTTTCCATTCTACAGTTTTTTTTTTTTTTTTTTTTTTGTTTTTTTTTTTTTTTTTTTGGTTTTTCGAGACAGGGTTTCTCTGTGTAGCTTTGCGCCTTTCCTGGGACTCACTTGGTAGCCCAGGCTGGCCTCGAACTCACAGAGATCCGCCTGGCTCTGCCTCCCGAGTGCTGGGATTAAAGGCGTGCGCCACCACCGCCCGGCCATTCTACAGTTTTTTAATTCAACCTCTGGTCTACAGTATGTGTATGAACTGCTTTTACTGAATGGATAGCAATGTTTTCTTTCTTTAATTTTGTGGTATCAGACAGCCACAGAATAAGTAAGACTTAAAATTTTTTCCCTTTATATTGATTTTAGGTGTATGAGTGTATTGCCTGCATGTATGTCTGTGAACCACATATGCGCAGTACCTGTGGGGGCCACAAAAGGGTGTTGGATCCCCCTGGAACTGGATTACAGAAGGCTGTGAGCCACCATATGGTGTTGGGAATCAAACCTAGGTCCTACCTAGGAAGTAAATACAAAAAGGAAGAGGCAGGTCATACATTTTTTAAATGTATCAGATAAGAACAAGAAGTTCTGGAGTGCTACCACACAATAAAGTGCCTACAGATGGCTATAATGAACTGTGCGTTTCAAAACGCTAAAGAAGAAATGATTAAGGGGCTGGGGAGGAAGGTCACTGGGGAAAGCACCTGCCATGCAAACGTGAGGCCCCAAGTCTGAATTCCCAGAACCCATGTAAAAGCCGGGCACAGCACTGCACATCTGCAATGTCATTGCTTCGGTGGTGACATGGAAGTGGAGACGAGACTCCGGGAAGCTCACTGATAGTCAGATGGGAAGTGGAGACGAGACTCCGGGAAGCTCACTGACTAGTCAGATGGAAGTGGAGACGAGACTCCGGGAAGCTCACTGATAGTCAGATGGAAGGGGAGACGAGACTCCGGGAAGCTCACCGACTAGTCAGACTGGCGTAGTCGATAGCAAAAGAGACCTTGGAAGGAGAGGACTGACACCCAAAGTTGTCTTCTAACCACTCCATGTGTGTCGGGACAAGAATGCACCTGCACTCACACATTTAACATGAGCACACACGTAAACACACCAGACACACACAAAAGAATGAATAATGAAGAGATACATATATTTAACTGACATAAACATTATATAATAGATACAGGTATTGAAACATTATACAGGCCCCTGTAATTGTGTAAAACACTTGTTTTGAAGCTGGAGACAATTTTATTAAAGTCTGAGAAAAACAAAAGGGAGAACAAGCTGTGGATCCTGGCAGCTGCCTAAGGAAGCAAGATGGAGAAGAGGAAGAGAGAAAGCCATGCCTTCTGCGATGGAAGTTGGCAAGCAGCTGCATGGCAGAAGTAGAAAGGACTCCAGATGAGTCAGAGACCCCAGGGCGCTAGAGAAAACATGCTGTGGCTTTTTGGCCAGTGTCCAAAAGGCAAAGCTCTAGGACAGGAAGACCATCTGGGAAAGGTGTATATGTATTAACTTATTAAGGAGCAACTGTCCTTCCCTTTTCCTCAGCAGGTCCTCAGGTGAACAAGCTTTCCTCTGGGGTGGACTCCTGGTCAGGTGACTGACAGCAGTCAGATTAACTGTTGTTTTCTTTTTAACAATACAGTATCTTTTATTTATTCTTCGATAATTTATACATGTGTCTTGATCATATCCATCCCTAAGTCCTCTTCTCACTCCTCCAGGATATATCATGTAAAACCTTTATAGGTTTTATTTCACATTATAAGAGGCAGGCACTGGACCACTGGTCTACATCCCTGGATCAATCAAAAAAAACTGGCAGACACAACGGAAGTGCAGGCCACCCTAGAACACCCACAAACCAGGTTTATGGATCACACGTCTCCCCAAGTGTGATGACTACTCTTAGTTGTCAACTTGACTGGATCGGGAGTCAACTGAGCTACAAGCTGCTAGGGACTCCTATGAGGGACTGGCTTCATCTGAGATGGGAAGACCCACCCTGAATGTAGACAGCACCTTCTGGGGGCAACTCAGATGAAATGACATGAAGAAGGAAAATGCTTTCTGTCTGCTTGCCCTCACTCTTGCAAGGTTGCCTACCCTGTTGGGGTGGCATTCCTTAGCTGATATTAGAACCAGCAGCTCTCTGAGAATCCTCAGGTCTTTAGCACCAGATTGGGACTGCTAAGACATCCAGTTTTGTGGACTGAGCAACTACTGATTCTTAGTCTCTTTGGTGTGACACGGCCATTGTTGGACTTCTGAGACCACATCATGTAAGCCAATCTAATAAATCGCCTTAATAGTTGTTTTTTCTTCTCCAGTTAAAAGCTTTTTATTGATCTGAGAGCCCACAGATACTCTTTCAATTTATTTTTTATTTTTTTGAAACAGTCAGCCCTGAAAACATACATACAAGAAACATCATATAGACTTAGCAGGTTATATTTAGGAATATATATGTATATACAGATACATATATGCATGCAATAACAATTAGTGGAAAAAAAGACCATGAATTTGGAGGAGAATGGGGAGGATCATATGGGAGGGAGTGGAGGGAGGAAAGGGAAGGGAGAAATGTTGTAACTAGATTATAATCTTAAAAAAATTTTTTTAATGCCTCAGCACTTTAAGATTTATTTTTATGTATGTGTGTCTATGTCTGAGTACATGATGTGTATGGAGACCAGAAAAGGGTGTCAGATACCCTAGAGCTGGAGCTACAGGTGGTTATGAGCTGCCTGATATGGGTACTAGGAACTGAACTTGGGTCCTTTGAAAGAGCAGTATGTACTCTTAACCACTGGGCCAACTCTCCAGCTCTAAGTTCCCATGTACAGATAGACACAGTCTCTCTGTCTCTCTGTCTGTCTCTCTCTCTCTCTCCTTTAGAGAACCCTGACTACTACAAGGGGTAAAAAACGATGTCTGGTAGCTGCCATCACTGGCTGCTAAGATATGCACAGCCCAAAACTTCACACTACTTACCTGCAGCAGAGACTGGGAGATATCTGCATTCTCTGGACTGTCAAAGTGCAGAAGTTGGGAGCCAAACCCATAGAAATGGGGCCCCATTTTGTGGAGGTCCACGACATTAGCGTCTGCACTGAACACAGTCCTCCATCCCTCTTGGTACATCTTGGGAAGTTCCACAGAAAGGATGCGCCGCTTGGTGTCAAAGAGTCCTTTAGCCAGCCACAAGGGAAGCTCAAGCTTTGTGCCCTGCATCAGGCAAGAACACAGAGTTGAGAAACGAAGGTACAGTCAGTATATGTGGGGAAAAAATGAAAATTCCTGTTTTCTGGGAAATACCGCCTCTTCTACTGGTGACCGAGAAGTGACATGAAGAAGCGAACCACAGACTTGCATTGTCATTTACCTTTTTTAGCTGTGTGTGTGTGTGTGTGTGTGTGTGTGTGTGTGTGTGTGTGTGTGTCTGTGTGTGTGTGTGTGTGTGTGTGTGTGTGTCTGTGTGTGTGTCTGTGTGTGTGTGTGTGTGTGTGTGTGTGTCTGTGTCTGTGTGTGTGTGTGTGTGTGTGTGTGTGTGTGTGTCTGTGTCTGTGTGTGTGTGTGTGTGTGTGTGTGTGTGTGTGTGTCTGTGTCTGTGTGTGTGTGTGTGTGTGTGTGTGTGTGTGTGTGTGTGTGTGTGTGTCTGTGTCTGTGTGTGTGTGTGTGTGTGTGTGTCTGTGTGTGTGTGTGTGTGTGTGTCTGTGTGTGTGTGTGTGTGTGTCTGTGTCTGTCAGTGTAGGCAGGTAGACGCACACTGTCTACCTGGTACACACGGCATGTGTGGAGGCCGGAGACTGCTGTCACAGTGTTCTCTGTGCTCACTTCTCCATCTTCACTTTGAGACAGTTCGCTCTCTTGCCGACCCCACACTACCTATTTCAGTCAAACTGGCTGGTCAGTGGGCTCTGGGGATACAGCAGTCAACCTCAGCCCCTACCCTGCCACTGCCCGAGTTAGAGACACAGGCATGCCTGGCTTTTCATGTGGGTCCTGTGGCTCTAGACTCAGGTTCTCATGCCAGTGCAGCAAGAACCTTACTCACTTGGCCACGCCTCCAGCCCTTACTCACATATTCTTAACTGGTACGTTTAAGGGGTACGAGATGCTGCTGCAATTCACTTTCATATTGTATAATCTCTAAATCAAGTTAACCACCCACCTCAAACAGCATTTCTTTAGAGCGAGCACATTCAAAATCCTTTCTCCAGTTGTTCAAAAGGGCAAGTGCCTCACTGTAATCTACAGTCACCCTCCTGCTCAGCAGCACACCGGGACGCCTTAATTAACACCAGAGTGACATCTGCTAATCAAGTTCCCGCCCCCACTTTCCCAGCCTCTGCTATCATTCTGCTACTCTCAATTTCTGTGAGATCAGCTTAGGCTGAGGTTTCATGTCATGAGGCAATAAAGACAGAAAACAGAGTATAACAAAAACACGACAAAGAACAAAAACAGAAGTGGAAGTCTTCCAGAGTAAATGAATATACTTTTTTACTTTCTTTGAATATTCTCCATCTATGGTATGTATATGTAAGTACCAATCTGGATGCTGGTAGAAGAGAACAAAGTGAAATCAATCTGAAGTCAGGTGGCTTCAGAGGTGGCAGAAAGGGCCAATGTCTACGGTTTTCAAAGCCTTAAGAATTGGAAAACATGACAAGATGAAATGACCGGCCAGAAATCAAAAGAAATCTCCTAGTTGAATTCTACTTTACCACTTACTGGAGGCCCCTAGCCTTGTCACCCAGTCTTTGGTAGGTTTATGGGAGGGTAAGGGGCTAGTGCACGGAGCTGCCACATTCATTCCGAACAATGAGCAACCTTTTACCGAGGACTGACTTGGTTAAGCCACCACGGACTGCGGTGGGACCCTGGCCAAGCCCCTCAATCTTTGTGAAGTTGCCGAAGTGAGAGGATGTAACTTAGCACACAGTTAAGTTACACCCACCTCCTCCACCCCACCATGCCCCGCTTCCGCCCACACTGGATAATCGGCCCTTGGGAACAGGCGGCTGACACTGCCATCAGTTTGCAGAATGCACAAGGCCATTTGCAGTTCCCAGACTTACAAACCTCAAATAAGTTGTTTAGGGAAAACATGAAGAGAACCAAGACCCCGAGATGCTCAGCTGGGGCCAATCCTCCAGCGTTCGGAAAGCCAAGACCTTCGGGGGGTATTTTAAAAACAAATCCAGCGGTGGCGGGGGACCAGCCCGAGCGCTGTGCAGCTCTCCGGGGTCCCCGCGGCCTCCCCGGGGCGCCTCACCTGCGGCAGCGCGTGGTCCGACTCGGCGTCCGCGCCCCGCTCCAGGAAGAAGGCGCCCAGGCGCGGCATGGACGTCTCGACGCGCACCGGCAGCTTCTCCTGGGACATCAGGATGTCGTCCAAGGACAGGAAGTTCTCCTCGGGTCCCAGGGCGCCGGACTCCACCGGTGAATACGCCTCCGACATGGCTGCTCGCGGCAGCGTCAAGGGGTGAGGAAGCCGCCCGCCTCACCGAACCCACCGGCTTCAAACTCGGCTTTCCCGCGCCTGACTCGCCAGACCCGAGCAGTCGATCCCTGCGGGCCTGCGGCTGCTCAGGCGGAAGCAATCGATGAAGTCACAGCTCTGGTCCCGAGTCACCGCCCTGAGCGGAAACCCTGGCTGAGTCGGCCGGAAGTTCTCCCGCAACTGGTAGCCTAGGCTGGGAGACGTGTGTAGAAGCTTGAACTTCGTTGAAGGGACCGTGTGCATTTGTACTAACTGGACTGTATTCATGCAGCCCTTTAAATAGATACATAAAATTTAAGAACATCTTTGGGGGCTTCAAATAAAACCATTATATACTATCCACTCCAGTCCTCATTAAATCTGCTTTTATTACAACCTTTTCACTGATAGGTTAATTTTTGTCTTTGAAAACAACTAAAGAAACGAAAACACAAGCACTAGCCCGAATGTTTAACTGTGTGCGGAGTTACAAAGTATTTGTAGTGTTTTGGTGGGGTATGGGTTCAGGTGGGGTGGGAACTTGGATGGAGTGGTAGATTTACGTAAAAGTGACAAAATCTTAAGTCCTTTCCAGGACCTTCCAGCTTGCTTTGCTGTCAACTGACAAATTCCTCTTGTGGCTCTTAGTTTAAGTTCCTAAAAGATGAAATTAGACTAGTCCCGTTAGTCTTTTGACAGCCACCTACCCGCGAGATTTCCAGTGCCAAGTGTTATCATGGGTCCAGAACAAGGAAAGGTCATGGTTGCTTGGTGCTAGGGTTTGTGGCACTACTCACACGAGGATGCATGTTGAGGGGGATTGTTGAGAGGTGTGCTGCAGAACTTATTCCGACTGTGGAAGGGCATTCCTGGGGTAGTGGAGTTTGTGAGCAATGTGTACACAGGAAAGGGGGTGTGCATGACTTTCATCTTTTGCATCCCTTTTTAGTTTTGAATGAAACAATTTGTTAATGTATTCACATAATTCACTATATTTAAGCAATAGCCTTCTAAATACGGACTAGAACTTTACATATGCTAAGCAACAGTCGCTTGTTTTTTCTTGCCAAAATACTTGAGTTAAATGAATGTTTAAAATATTTACACCACTTTCTTTACTTTTTTTCCTCTTCTTTTAGCAATCATTGCTAGTCAGTTTAAAATAATTTATTCTAGGCAGCTAGTTTAAAAGATCCCGGTAGTGTCAAGCATGGTGGCACATGCCTAGAATCCCATCAACGGGGAAGCTGAGGGAAGAGGATCTCAGGCTTGAGGCCAGCCTGAGTTACATGGCAAGACCTTATCTTTAAGAACAATTATGAATAATATTCTTGCTGACATGACAGGATCAGAAGCAAACTCCGCATGAGCTAGGCATGTGCTGACACTGTTGGCAATTTCCTGCATGTCTCCAGATCTTAGGTACAGCTGCTTCCCAATTCACAATGGTCCCACTAACAACCTTTACTTTACAATGGTACAAAAGCTTATTCATATAGCCATTCTGTTTTTATTTTCAATACAGTATTTGATAAATAACATGAGCTATTCAGTGTTTTGTTTTAAAATGGGCTTTGTGTTAGATGATTTTGTCCAAATGTGTCCTGAGGACATTTGAGGCAGACTGAGTTAAACTACGATATCTTGTAGGGTAAAGGATAAAATATATTTTCACTTAATGTTTTCAATGTAGGATAAGTTTATTGAGAAGTCCCCCTGCTGTAGATCAAAGAATATCTGTATTTAATGAAAAGTGTATTAGAGATGGCAGCAATAAAATTGTTTTCATCAGTCCTATAAATGAACCATTTTAACCTCAAATAATACTTGCCTTCCCTTCACTTATAATATCCTACCATATTTTTGAAACAACATCTTGTATGCAGCCTAGGCTGACACTAAACTCAGGAGTCTTCTGCCTCAGGCTTCCAGGTACTAGGGTTACTGCTATTGTGCCTACCATATTTAAAATTCTCATTGGCAGTGGTAATAAGAAACCAGGGAAATTTACATTCATCTCCCCCTGTTTTTCAGTGCTGGTCTCCATAAACATCGTATGAATGGAATCATCATCCTTAGCTTCCCTCCATGCTTCTCTTACACAACAAAGTCACATTTACTTCCTGCATTAACAGTCACACAGTCCAACCATTGCCAACTCTGCTGCTACCACCATCAGTATTTTATGATATCTTGACCCTTGGGAACATGGGGAGGAATTACCCCTTCAGAGTTAGCTAATTCCTAGAGATAGCAAACAAGGTACCTGTGAACATTCCTTTAGTTTATAAATCAGCCATTCCAAGCCTATGTCCCAAGGCAGTTTATCTAACACATACACAAAGCCAATGTTTCCTGTACACATGCCTCATCATGGTGTTGGGAACACAGAGGGTCCTGATACTCACAGAGAAGCACTAAGTGAATCAGTAATGCTAATCTCCTCAATGGAGGAGATAAAAATCAAATGCCTGCATTCCATTCAGAAAGCTGAGAGTGGATCTTGTTAATGACCTGGTGACCTTTCTGCTCTCTGAAGGGACAGACCTCACCCAAATTCCTCAGACTGATCATCCCAGACTCTTCCTTCCCTAGACCGTAGCCCATCTTTAGGGGAGATGTCACATGTACTTTATGGCTTCTGACCTTTGTGCTGTCGTCAGAGACCACACTAGATTCTAGGCCTTTCAGCTGTAGAACCAACCCTCATGGTTACATGTACTCTGTAAAAGAGTCTCTATGTAGTCATACCTTAGGCTTTATTGTGCATCTGGAATTGGACTGATTGGACTGATTGTGGCCTGGAAACTTTCCCCAAATTGTACTGTGTTTTAAATATGCTGACAATGGATCACCTGGTATTAGACTTCCGGAATCTTCAATCTGCACCGTGTTTCCATTCTTATTTCTTCTTGCAGTTCACTTCCCCATATGACACATGCAGGGACCCCCTCTGCATGGGACACATATGCACACATACATGCACACTTGCACACACACATGCTGCACACACAAATGAATATAATTTTAAAGTTAAGTAAACATAATCCATAGTGATAATGTATACTTTTCTGCTGAGAGGGAGATATGGCAGCAGATATGGCTTGGGATAGAAATATGAACTTGTTTATTTGAAAGCAATATAGGTCATTTACTGCTGAGGACTGTAAGCTACTTTTACATAGAAATAAAAAAAAACCCTCAATGAGTTAACCACATCACAAGAGTATCACTTTTGTGCAGAGACCAGAATATTGACTTTAAATACAAACACCATGTTAATACTGAAAGGATTAAGATGAAATCAGATGGTCTTGTTTTTCTCACTTAATGTCTTGGCTTCTGATGAAACTATCCACTGCTGTGTACTGTTACTCCGTTTAATCTCTCTTCTCCTAAACTAGTAAACACGTGAAGAAACCAGAAAAGTGAAAAGAGTGAAGGTTTGAGTTTGTGATGCTAAAAACAGCCAGTCCTTCGATGGAGTGGCACATGGTTTATTGAAAACGAGTCTGTCTATGGTTTATGTCCTAAGAGCCAAGAAAGCTCTTAAGCCAACTAATCAATAGACCGGAAGTGCGCCGAGAAGACCTCGATCTGCATGAACTGCACATTGTGTTCGCGGTGTTAGTGACGCACTGAACTGCAGTGCTGCATTCTGACAGAGTCTGCTGGTCCTGAGAACAGACCAGCCATTTGAGAATCGCAGACTCTGGGGGCAGCAGTGCTTTAGAACACAGTGGACGTGATAGGAGCTGCCTTAGTGGTCATGGCCTAACCTCAGGAGGCAGAGCCTTTAGATTTGCAAACCACAAGCAGTTTTCAAGTGTTTGTATCATCCTGGTGAGTGTGTATGTATGTGTGCATGCGTGCAAGTGTGTGTGCGTCCCATACTGAGGATTGAACTCGGGAACTCATGCATGCTAGGCAAGCACTCTATTACTGAGCCACATTCCCTGACTCTAAATTTGCTTTTTGTCTGTATTTTGTTTCTGCCTTATTATTTTTTCTGAGACAGGTTTCTTTTTATGTATCCAAGGCTGATGAATTCATGATCCTCCTGCCTTGTCTCTAGAGTGCTAGGATTAGAGATCTCATTACTAGACTCCGCTAAGTCGGCTCTTTTGAATGCCAGAGCTGTCTACAGTTCTCTCATTGAGTGGGGAAGTTGTACTGCAGGTGAAAAAAAAACCCAAATCCAAGGGGTATGGAGGACCCAGGGGGCAGGAAGAAAGAGAAACGCACGGGGCTCCATCCTTAGAGTTTGGCAGGGTTTCCTGATCCCTTCCTAATTCTTATTCCCAGGTGGGCACTGGCCCACCCACAGAAGTTGCCTTCGCCGTCACAGAAGGTCTAGTAGCTGGTCATTTCCCATCACTCCGGCAGGTGTGTCCAACCTTTGATGCTGCAAAAAGTCATCATTAGCTTCAATAGTTACACCCAAGGACCTCACATTTTGAGTCACAAAAGTAGTGGCCAGAACCTCATAAAGTTTTAATTAAGTTTATGATGTGTTGGGCCACATTTGTAGCTATAGTGATTGTACGTGGGCCTCAGGTTGCAGGTTGAACATACTTGCAAACCTAGTCCAAGCATTAGCTGTCTGTCTTGTCTTGTTTCTGTCCATAACCTCCACTTTGTTGTTGAGAGGCCGAAGACATTCACTCCCCGGGACTCTGCAGTCGTCTGTTTTACTGTGTGGACTGTCTTTCTCTTGCGTTCCCACAAGATTGGTTTCTTCTCAGGTTTTTCTTCAAACTCCACTGCCTCAATGAAGCCTTCTCCAGCTACAGTTCTAATTACTTTTCGCTCATGTTTCATATTTACCTGCTATGTTTTAAATGTGTCCTCAGAATGCATAGGTTGGAACTTAATCCCAATGCAACACTGTTGGGAGGTGTGTAGGTCACAAGGGCCCGGTCCCCATGAATGGATTCATGAGTGAATAAGAAGGATTATGGGCATGACTTCTTTCTCCTCTGCCTTCTTCCATGTGAGGACATAGCAAGAAGGCTCTCATCAGCCCCTGAGGCCTTGAACTGGACCCCACAGGATCCAGAGCTGTGAAAGGATACATTTCTGTTCCTTACAAATTACCCAGTCTGTGGTATTCTGCTGCAGCGCTGCAAAATGTACTGAAAACTCCCTTTTCCCCACCACCCCATCACTCTCAATACACTGTATATTTTCTATATCTTAGTGCTTCAATCAGTTACCCTTCTCACAGTGTTAGCTCCATAGCGGTAGGGGCAGGAAGGTTTTTAGTCTCTCCCCATCCCAGTATCCCTACTGCCAAGTGTATTTTAGGCATTTACTATTAGTGACTCCTACAGCAAGAAATGATGTGGAAATCAGGAGTTAAAAAATATTTTGCCAAGGTACAGGCTAAGTCCCGAGTGTTTCTCTAGACCCACAAGCCATGAAACAGTCCACTGATTGGGCTCCATTAACTTCTATAGAGTTGAAGCTGAGACACGGCCATGCTGAATGTCGGTTTTGCAGTAACTGTGAAAACAGAGCGCTTCAGCCAACAGTGACTACATGTGTAAATGGCTCTTTCCCTCCCGTGAGACGGTCCATTTCCACTGGATTGCTGTGTGACCTCTGAACTCATCAGTACCAGCTGGTGTCTAACCTCGACCACTTGAGACACCTTTGTGACTGCCAGGAAGCGGCTTCCGTCAGTGTCTGTAAGATTGGGCTTAATGAAGTAGCTCGGGGAAGACAGAGCAAATGAGCCTGTTTGCACAGAGCTCTGCTGCCAGGCCCAGGCCCACAGGAAGTGCTCAAAAACTGATCATTAACCGTGTCTGTTCACGCCTGTATCCTCAGCGCCGCAAATGACTTCTGGCATACAGCAAGCACTCACTGAATGCTTGTTTAAAAGCCGCCATCATCTGTGACTGTCATTGCTCTGGACTTGGCTACTCTCTTGGCTTCCTCTCCAACTCAGGTTTCTCAATGCATTTAAAGGTGAGAAGTTGCTGTTCAACTTTATCCCCCTGCAAATTATCAGGTAGAGTTTATCACCTATTAGAACAAATTACTGTATTAAGGTATTTTTTTTTTTTGTATCATGAAATGAGAGTGCTATGTTTGAAATCTTATTATGTAAGGTTAATAGATTAAAATCAGCGGGGCTCATTTTTACATAATGTGAATGTTCTTTTGGTTGAGCTATTTCTTAAGCCCTGCTCCAAAACGCCTTCCACAAGATCAGAATAAATTGATGGGCATGATGCGACCTTCTGTGTGGGTAGTGCTGATTTTAGATTCTTCCCACGGTCTTCAGCAGTACTAATGAAATTGTGAACCCATCTTATTTATTCAGAGAGATCTTGTGCGTCACCCTCTTCACTTGGCAAAGAAGCATCTATTGCTATCACTATAATAGAGGCACATGTTAATCCTACTTTCCTTTTTCTCTGTTTATAGTTTCACAAAAGTACCTCTCCCCATTCCTATAGTTCGATCTTATTGTGGTTATCTATGTTACAGTTTAATCTATGGGATGGCCAGACTTTCTTAAATGGGAAGGGTGGTAAGCAGATTTGTTTCTCTGAGAAGAAAATGATGCCTTCGCTCATCAAGATGTTCAGTTGCTTGTTACATGCCCTGAGGCTGCAAACGTGGGCACAAGGATGGGTGTGACAGTTCTGGACTGTGAAGGAATCTGTCAGTATCCAAGGGGAGCGTGACAGTGAAAGTCATGTCCAAAATGATGTGGAGGCTCAGAAGGCAATGTGAATTCTACCCTAGATGGGCAAGTGCTTATGAAAGCTTTAAGGAAGAACCATCGGCATGGGTGAGATGTCTCAGTAGGTAAAGGCACCTGTCACCACAGCTCATGATTAAGTTCAGCCCTGGGATCCCACGTGATAGAAGGAGAGAACCAACTCCTACAAGTTGTCCTCCGACCTGCCCATGTGTGCTGGTGTGTGTGTGTGTGTGTGTGTATACCCATGCACACAGTACTGAGTCTTTTTCTGTCCCACTAGCCAGCTCCCAAATAATGATGTGGAGACTTCCTATTAATTATGAAAACTCGGTCTATAGCTTAGGCTTGTTTCTAGCTAGCTCTTATAACTTAAATTAACCCATTAATACTAACCTACATTCTATTATGTGACATTACCTCTCTTCTATCTTACACCTCCTGTTTCCTCTCCGTGTCTCTTGGCATCTCCTGCGTGTCTAGATTCCTCCTCCTCTTCCTTTCTCTCCTGGGAAATTCCACCTATACTTCCTGCTTAGCTATTGGCCATTCGGCTTTTTATTATACCAGCTTCTCAGCTCAACCACAGTGCTCTTGAGATTCCTAAGGATGTGCTCCTATAGCAACTTTGCAGAGGACCCTGTGAGGAAAGGACTGTCCCAAAGCATGAGCTTGATGTTGCCAAGGGATGAGATTTTACAGGACTTATGAACCAGTCAGCTTCCCATTACCATTTTTTAAATGTCAGAGATAATCAACTTCCAAAGAGAGGAGGTTTATTTTGGCTTACAGTTTAGAGATTTCAGTCCACGGCAAGTTGGCCTTGTTCCTTTGAGCAGTGGTGGCAGTGCATCATGACAGCAGTCCATAGTGAGACAAGCTGCTGTCTTCATGGTCAAGACATGGACAAGAGGGAGAAGAGGGGCTGGGGTCTCACTATCTCCTTAAGACATCATTAAGAAATTCATCATAAATTGTTATTTGTGTTGGATATACCCCACTAATCTAAGATGCCTCGGCAGATCCTACCTCTTATAGGCTGCAGCACCTCTCACTAGTGCCCCAGGCAGGGACCAAACATTCAACACATGGGCTTTTGCAGGTCACTTATCCTCATGAAAGAAGCTGTGGATTTTTAAAGATTCATATTTATATTTTTTGTGTATGAAAGTTTTGCCTGCATGTTTTGTACGTGTGCCACATGCATGCCTAGTCCCTGAGGTCAGAAGAAGGTGTCAGATTCCCTGGAACCAGAGCCACCATATGGATACTGGATACAAAACCTGGGTCCTCTATAAGGGCAGCAAATGCTCCTAACTGTTACGCCATCTCTCCAGTCAAGAGAATGTGAATTTTGCATATGAGTGAAAGACAGATCATTTATGGTCACATGGAAGTT